TTTATATACTGCCTTCATCAGAGGGTCACAGGGTGGTTTACAGTACATAAACAGAAAAATACATAATCCAAACATATGAGGAAAATGCATAAAATTTAAATTCAAATAATCTATCACAGTGTCATTTGGAATTCTAAAGGTCACAGGGAGCAATGGAAAGAATACACAGAAAGAGAGAATACAAATTCCACAGTCCTTAATAAACTTGTAATTTCAGATGGAAGTTAAATTTATCTTAGACTACACAGTATACTAGGAAGGAAGGAAATCACATCAGACTCAATGGAATATCAAAGTAAAGGACTTTAGCATTGGTCTTTCAATATTTCTCTCTCCCCATACTGTAATTAGCTTACTTAAAAGGCTCTATTACTTTCTACACAACAGATTCAATGGAAGAAGTTCAGAAAATATGAGACCCGCTGTTGGAAAATGCTTTAGAAAGCAAGTTATCTTCTGCAAATGTTCAGTCCATAAACAAACTTACATGCACAAAAAGGTGAATGGTCAATGCATATACTTTGATGTTTTTCCCTTCTACTTTTGATTTATTTTATCATAGAATCATTGAATTGTAGAGTTTGAAAGGATTCTGGGGATCATCTAGTCTAACCCCCAAAATGCAGGATTCTCCACTAAAGCATCAATGACAGATAGCTATCTAACCTCTGGCATGACTTGTTTTTAAGAAACCCATGATGATTCTTAGTAATCACAGCTCACAGACAGACCATTTAATTATATGTTCTAGAACCTTTCCTGGTATCGGTGTCAAGCTGACCAGTCAGTAGTTACCAGAGTCTTCTTTTTCGTTTTGTTTTTTGTAGATGGGGACAACATTTGCCCGCCTCCAGTCTGCAGGGACCTCACCTGTTTTCCAAGAATTCTCAAACATTGTACAAAGAGGCTCAGAGATTACATCTGCAAGCTCCTTTCGTATCTTTGGCTGCAAGCTCATCAAGCCCTGGATATGTGAATTAATTTATAGTAACTAGGTGTTCCCTTACCACCTCGTTTCCTATTTAAATAATCACAGTGATTTTAATTTATGTAAGCTGCCTTGAGTAGAGCAGACATATTATAAAAAAAATGCAGACTGAAAATAATTCAAGAATTTAGCCAAGCTTCGAGGTCCATCCCTACATACTCTCACTTTCTGCATAAACATATCTCAATAGCCTCAATCCAGGGGGCCACATGACAGGGCTTTCCAAGTCTGCTATTTTTAGATGTGGTCCTCCATGCCATCCAACAAGCAGTCAACCGAGTCTCCATACAAACATGGATGAAACCTCAGTAACAGCCCACTATAAGCAACTGCTGCCAGTTTAAAAGTGAGTGCGTTTAAAAGTCATTTCATGTATCAAAGGGCTTTCTAGATCAGAGCTAACATCTTTCTTCTTTCTTTCTTAGGGTGGGGGGAAGAGAAGTATTGCTACTCATGCCACTATTAGTTTAAAATTAAAAAGATGTCCAGAGCACCTTCTGTCTCTATCACTCAGCTGCCTCCTTAACTTCTTCTCCCCATTTCCCTAGCAACCCCACCTTCCCAGCCCCATGTTGTGCTCAGGTCCTGTCTCTGGACTTCTCTTAAGCATCTGGTTGACCACTGCGAGTACTAGATACTGGACGAGATGGACCATTGGCCTGATTCAGCAGGCTCTTCTTAAGTTCCTATGTGTCAGACCCAAGGCCCATCTCCAAAGCAGTTGCAGGTTTTGCTGGGGTAGAGTAATCTGAACAATCTAAGTGACATGGTAGAGACATTGAAAATGACAGAAGAAAGACAAATTCAGAGTAAAGCACCTATCGCTGATCTACAGTTTACCAGCTCTTCTGATTTATTCTTCCACATTCATTTAGTGATGTGCTAGACACTACATAGAATACAGAAATGACAACCAGGCTATGTGACACTGGTAAATTTGAACTGACACTTTGATCTAATAAAAGAGAAAGAATCAATGCTGCTATGGACCTGACAAATAATAAAGTATTGTTCAAATCCAAAACAAAGACACCAAAATTGTGTCATAGAATTTGCACACCCAGAGCAATAAACCTTCTGTTTCTACAAAAGTCACAATATTATTATTTTTTAAATCTCTGGCTTTATGAATTACAGGTGCAATAAATGGGAGGTACGGATAGTAATTAATGCATGTCTGCCTTTCCTGATGAGCTCCTTCTGGTGGGTCAGAGTTATTGAAATTCATTGAGAAAATCTTCAATCATGCAGAAATTCTGAAGAAATAGGCCTAGATGCAATTTAATAAAGCAATAATATTTCTTTTAAATAATTAACCAGGCTGTGACATTTGCTAATATTCCTAAGGCCTAACTCCTGCTTCAACATTATTACTGGGTGGCGGCGGGGGGGGGGGGGAGAAGTGTGCTGCTCAGGGAACTGATCCAGTCAGCACTCACAAAACCCCAACATGTACATGCACAGTCAAATGAAAACTGAATATATTGCTCTGGGTCACTTCCTCATTGCCAGCAGTTATGTTTACCTTCAGCCTTCAACTGCAATATTTATTTTTATCCATAACTCTAGTTCCACAGTACTTTGGTTGGTTTTATTGTTCAGTAAGAGAGAATTCCTTTAATTTACTCGTCCTTGCCCCCCACTTCCTATCCCAATTATTATTATTTTGTGCTTAGATGCAATCAGCTATCTGCCACTTATGTCAGAGCAGGTTCCTTTGACATGGATGCTTTAAAACATGCAGTTTCTATCACAGAACAGAGAAAATTCTATTGGAATTTAGTAGTATATTGGAATACTACTAAAAAAAAAGGCTAATAAAAAGGTCAATTAAAAAGACCCGTTTCCTGATAAAGAGGCATTTGTGAGGAATCTGCCTACATATAAGACACAGAACTACATAAACGCTTGAAGCATTCACAAGTAAAAAGGCATCTAATCTTGTGCACATACACATACCATGAAATTGAAAGAAAACAAGGATTAAGATTCTTCAGAGTGATTTCAGATACAAACTATAAATTCTTGTAAGATTATCATCATTTCACCAGCAATGCAGCTGCTTATTGCAACACACAGAAAAAGCAGCAAAGCAGGAGGAAAACTATTGGGGGGAATCCAAGTGAACAACTAAACAGGACATCATACTGTAAGTACAGCCAGAATTCACAACGTGGCAGCAATGTCAAATTCATTTTTGTTTCGGAGCACAGTGAACAAGAACCCATTCACTGTTGGATGGACTGCTTTTCAAGACAAGAATGACAAACCTTGAAGGCTACTAAGTCCATCTTCAACATTTGGGTAACAAGTGTCCAGCAGGAAAAGGAGAGGGAAGGGGCTATCAGCAAGAGTAGATGGTTATCACCAATAAAATTTAAATCAAACAAAGTCATATTTAGGGTAGACCCACTGAAACCTATAGGTGGCATTTTATGATGTCTGCTTGTTTGAGCAATGGGGCTTCTGGCATGTTTTCAACCCCTACAGCCCCCCAACCCTGCAATGCAGATTTCGGGTGTAAGAAAGGAAGGAGAAACCCCATTGCATACATGAATGCCTGCTTGTGCTACATTTGATCTCACCCAGCAGTTCACAGCAGTTCACTCAGCAGTTCACAGATTTCAATGGGTATGACTAATACTGGGTATCACCCTTAGCATGTAAGCATCCCTTCAGAATCAGTTATTTAATTAAGGATGTAAAATTCCCCCAGGCGCAGGAGATACTCACCAGATAAATTCTATAAGCATCAATCCTTCTGATTGGTCCCCAGCACTTGTCTGTGTCATTATACTTAGTACCATCTTCAACACTGCATGAATGATTGCCCGTCACACTACTGACAAGAGGGAGAAGCAAAAGCAGACCACAGTTAATGCACCTATGCATGGGCATAGCAGCTGCCCCTCATTAAAAACACTTAATTAATTGAGGTTCTCCCCATCCATAAATCCTGGCTACACCCATGCACCTATGTAAACCCCAGCCACCATTCCTCCCCACACTTTTTTAAAGGATGATGGAGAATTTCCTCTTACACAGCACACACCATGTGGAGTCTCGGTCAATCAAGAACTCCACATTCTTCAACACTGTACCTAATGGATTTGGCATGTAAGGTATATGTAGACATTTTAAAAAATAGAAGTGTTTCTTGATTAAAGAAATAGTAGTCATTTAATCATATAACTTGTAATTCATTGAATAAAGCCAGATTAGTTTGTGTATGAATCAACAACAGTATTGAAGAAAAGGCTATTTTTGTATCAGGCTCCTAGTCTTAGAATACCCATTCCCGGCTGTGTGGGATAGAAGGGGGAATGTATGTTCTATAGTGTCACCTGTCATTCATGCTTTTTGTAAGAAAGGTAAAGGTAAAGGTACCCCTGCCTGTACGGGCCAGTCTTGACAGACTCTAGGGTTGTGCGCCCATCTCACTCAAGAGGCCGGGGGCCAGCGCTGTCCGGAGACACTTCCGGGTCACGTGGCCAGCGTGACATCGCTGCTCTGGCTCGCCAGAGCCGCACACGGAAACGCCGTTTACCTTCCCGCTAGTAAGCGGTCCCTATTTATCTACTTGCACCCAGGCTTTTTGTAAATACAGGCATAAAAATTATTTTAGACCATTGTAAAATCTGCTGCCCAATTAGTCAGCAGCACCTTCTGATAATCTAATCTAATCAAAGAATCAATCAAGTAAGCATTGCAGCCCTATAAAGAAGTAACTCACAAATTAGCCCCTAGACCTAGTTTTTGTCAATATGCTAAGCACTGTCAAATTACATCAGAACAATGTAACCCACTCTGGAAAATTAGTTTGAAGTGTGAGGTAGAAATACTTTAAATTTATTAATTACAACCAGCAAGTCAATCTTCTGCCAGAGCCATCAATGTGAAATGGTTATGCAATCCTCCGACATTTCAGCAAGAAACTGCTGCTTTCAAAATATTGCCACCGAAAGCACACTCACCAGGTCACCTGCATGAGAGAAACTGGGACAGCAGCTGCATATATCGCCAAATCACCATAGAGGTAGATGATTATGCAGAAATAGAACAAGTTGACTCCCACTGTAAATAAAGGGAATAGTAAACATAGGTTTAGACTAGACCAGTCTGTTCCTGTAGTTTCACTTTTTACACCAGGATGTATCTAGGAACCTTTTGTGGATCACCACTTCAACTTGCTGTGCTGCAAAAAGGCTTCTGGGGAAAACATTTCACGACTCTATTGGCAACACCTTGTTCATTTCACCTAGTTGAATGATCTTCATTTGTAAAAAAAATCAGCCCTAGCAATTGCCAGGACAGAGTTCCTGAGGGGCAGTCCAGTTGTCTAAGACTAACGTAACTGTATAAGCATGCATTTTCAACATTATTAAAATATTTGTATACTGTATTTTCATAAAAGATAACAAAACCATTTACAACAATTATAATACAATAAAAACCACACAAAAATTAAAACAGTTCTCCATCTCACTATTAGGGGAAATGTTTCTTAATTGTCTTCATAAGCCTAGCAACAGAGAAGTTTTCAGCAAACATTTGAAACATTAGTATAGAAGGTGCCTGCTGAATCTCTAAGGCTCAGTTCTGTGTCTACGTCAAATGAGCCTCACCATCTCACATGATGCTCTTACATATGATCTCAGTGATTGCAATGAAATAAAAGGGTCAAGGTGGTCCCTGAGGCACCCTGGACCTATGGTGTTGAGCCCTTCATCAATTAATATAAAAAAGGTAAAGGACCCCTGACAGTTAAGTCCAGTCGTGAAAGACTCTGGGGTTGCAGCGCTCATCTCGCTTTTCTGGCTGAGGGAGCTGGTGTTTGTATGCAGACAGACTAAGCCGCTTCTGGTGAAAATCAGAGCAGGACACGGAAACGCCATTTACCTTCCCACCAGAGGGGTACCTATTTATCTACTTGCACTTTGACGTGCTTTCGAACTGCTCGGTTGGCAGGAGCAGGGACCAAGCAACAGGAGCTCATCCCGTCGCGGGGATTCGAACCGCCAACCTTCTGATCGGCAAGCCCTAACGATGAGCAGCCCATGCAGATATTTCTGTACCAGCTAGAGCTTCTGAGCTAGGCCTAGGGGCAACCTCAGATACAGTGCATTGTGTAATGTAAGAGCACAAACAAGGTGCTTAAAACCAGCCATTATCTCACAGCAAACAATGGTAACCAATATTAGTCAGAAGGAAGGTATTTTGCAAAGATGACTTGGCCTTTCCTGCTTCAGACTTCCTTACCCTGCAGATATGTAATCAAATGCCTGCATTAACCTAACCAGTTCTATAGTAGCTCCATTTAAAAACCAGATGCAATTCTACTTCCACAAAGTTTGCATCCCATAAAACAGGAGTGCTGAACCTCAGACCCAGGGGCCAAGAATGTCTTCCACCAAGCAACTATACCGGGCTATTTTCATGTGACACCCCCTCCCCTGCCATGCCCCTCACGGACTCTGCTTTGGCTCCCTCCTTGAGTGCTTTGGCATGGCTGGAATATGGCACTGAACAGTGCCTTTTCTGGACTAGCTGGAGGACATACAGACATGTGAGTGAGTGTAAATTAGCCTAATGTATACAAGTAAAATGCGACCCCAGACTGAAAAATATTCTCCACCCCGCCATAAAATGTTCCCTATCCTATATTCCGTTTTATCAAGGGAAATATTCACTGCCACCATACCCTTGCTCTAGAGGACGCAGGTGAGACAGACTTTATAGTTTCACAGACAAAAAGAATTACCGGGAGGCAAACAAACTCTGCTTTGATGAGCAGAAATCAATAAGGATAAAGAGATGCCAAAATGCACCAGCTTGACTTAAAAGAAATAGAACTGAATGCCTCAATCTGAACAGATTTCATTTCCAAAGGCCACTGAGACAAGGAAACAAAACACGCATTGTTTCGTATAAAAGGAGAGAAGACAGGAATATTGTAAGAAAGCAAAAAATAAAGGAGCTTGACAGGAATACTAATCTAGTCTAGAATTTTGGTGCACAACTTCTAACTGCACATTACACTAGCAGCTCCACCATACAAAATGCTTCAGCTGTTATGGTGGAGTGTTTTATGATGCAATCTAACACAGGATTTTGAGCTTGGCAACAGAACAGAGCCATATATTGATACCTAAATTGTTGTGGCACCACTGCTACTAGAAAAATAGAAGCTTTACAGCAATTCACAGCTGTGCTTTATGACAGTACGAGGCCTAAAAGTGACTTTAGGTGTGGCCATCTGTGAGGAGAGCAGAAGTGCCTTGCCATTCCTATTCTCTGAGTTTCTTTGTGTCATCCAGAGAATTTCCCTGTGACAGATCCCAGATGACCTAAAGGACAGCCCACCTCATGTTTAGCCATTTAAAAGAGAACCAAAGTCTCCAGAAAGATCCATATGATCACCATTTTTTATTTCTTCCTCTACAGTGAGATACATGAACTACAGGTACAAATATCTGTGGGGGAGATACGAGAATTCTGCTTTGAAGACCAGGGAGAACTCACATGTCCTGGAAGTTACAATGTCAAAGCCTTAACACAAATTCATATCTCAAAAAAACATGTGAAAAGAAAACAGTGCAAACCAGTTTGCAACAACCTTCTGACCAAGGGAGGAAAATAATTTGTTAAGTAAAGAAAACAATTATTCATTACCCCAGAAGTGAGGAGCCTGTAGCCCTTCAGATGCTGGCTGACTATAACTCCCATCAACACTGGCAATAGTAGCTCAGGCTGATGGGAGTTGGAGTCCAAAAACATCTGGAAGACCACAGGTTCCCCATCCCTACACTACATCAATAACTGACTACAAGGAGAGGATCGCAAAAGACTGCAGCCGAAAATATTTTTCGCATATTCAGAAAGACATTAATAGTGCCTTTAATTCATCACAGAGCCTCCAGAAGAGTACATTTCATATTGGGAAAGATTGAGAAATGAGATCACAGCTATTCCTTACATTTAAATAGGAGTGAGTATCTCAGCATTACTTGGATAAATGGGACAGAAGAAAAAGGGTGAAGAAAGCTTAACAAAATTAGGTGTCCTCATATCATATCCAATATGTATGTACATCAGTGCAGTGAGTCGTGCCGTCATTTATCCATAGTAGTGACTCCAAAATTAGGTGCACAGCTAGTTTTTCGTAATACAAAGTGACACCAAGTCCAACACAGCAATCCTAAGCATGTTTTCTCAGAAATAAGATGCAATAGGTTTAATGGGGCTTACTCCCAAATAACTGTGTAAAGGATAGCAGCTTTAAGTGTCACATCCAGAATGTCAAATTTAAGTAAATATCAAACAAAATAAAATATGGAAATTATACTCACTTTACACAACTTTTTATTTACCAACATATAAAATAGGTAAATAAAATAAAAAAACAGAAAAGTTATATGACATTTGGGCTTCATGGAATACTAGCAAGCAAAGGAAAATTCTGTCTTAAGAGATGTGAGATCTTTCTTTTAAAGTGTTGACATCTATGAAGAAAAAGCTGAAAGGAAGCATGCTTTAACAAATGCTTGAAAAGGTCACCACAACTCAAGAGATTGGTTTCCCCAAATGATTATCAATCAATGCCTAAACAGTACGTTGTAAATGAACATGGTAAAAGGACACAGTGAAGGGGATGGAAGGAAGAATTCCTATTATTCACTGTTGCCATCAGACCAACAGGTATGGTGCCCAAGCTGCTAGGTCACTTGACTACAGCCCTCTTACATCTAATTTACACTAGGAACTCTGTAGGAAACAAAAGTTGAATGTACTGCTTTCATTTGTTTGGCAAAATAAAGGCCTGTGACTTAGCCACAGTAGCTCAGAGCATTTAAAATATTCAGATAAGCTGTATTTTAAATATTTTAAAGCTTCTAACAATTTGAAACCACAACATTTTAACCAATCCTGTTGTCCTCTGCAGAACATCTCAGACCCACTTCTATGTTGTTTATTCAAGGCACACATCTCAGCTGAGGATTTGGGGTGAAAGCACCACCCTATAGTCTCCACCCTCTCCACCTACAGATAGACATTAGTGTTGTTTCTGTTTTATAAACTGCCACCAACCTTCATTGATCAATACTTTCATTACTGGACACAAAACAGGAAGATCAATGACTTCCTGCAAGGATGGTACATGATGTATGTGCCTTGAATCCATTATTACAATAAATGACTTCTGGATCCCTGATAAAGAGCACCCAGCTATCCTTCAGAATAGATTCCCTTCACAGCCAGAGGCCCCTTTTTTCTCCTTAGAGTTAAGACTGCAAATCTATTCCCTACAGAAAGCAGACAAGTCAGAGGTGGAAGATTTATACACAGCTCAACTCTTAAGATTGCAGATCCAGAGCATGTCAAATTGTTAAGATAGTCAAGGGAAATGAGCAAAGAATACAGTGAAAACTAGGATTTTGCTTTTAACAGGCCAATAACTCTCAAAAGAAGGTATAACAGAGCCGCAACACATCTTCACCTAGCCATGAAACTCTGAAAGCCTTATTCATTGACTGTACTGCATAAATCTCATGACCCTAATAGCAAACCTGCCAGGTTGCGGTCGGGGTGTAACATTAGCATACAGTCACTGTGCGGATTTGTTTGGGGGTTCAAATAAAACAACATAATACACAGAATGGGGCAGTAAGAAGTTCTCCCTTAAGAGCAAATAATTGCTATAGTTCATTGAAGAATGCATGTGCAAATTCTGATTATGCTTAACTGCAGTAAGCCTGGTTGAGTTCTGAAGGGATGGGATTAGAGAATTAGGACAGTTGAAAAGATCTGGCACTTCAGAGGGGAGGCGAAGACATCCAAACCAACTGGAGGAGAAAGGCTTCTACACAAACCAGACAAGCTGCCCAGAAACAAAGATGAATAGATGAAGTAAGAACAGGAGATGTATGGTAGTAAACAGAAGCCATTAATGTAGTAGTAGTAGTAGTAATAATAATAATAATAATAATAATAATAATAATAATAATAATAATAATAATAATAATATATTTATACCCCGCCCATCTGGCTGTGTTTCCCCAGCCACTCTGGGCAGCTTCCAACAGAATATTAAAAATACAATAGCCTATTAAACATGAAAAGCTTCCCTAAACAGGGCTGCCTTCAGATGTCTTCTAAAAGTCTGGTAGTTGTTTTTCTCTTTGACATCTGGTGGGAGGGCGTTCCGTAGGGCGGGCGCCACTACCGAAAAGGCCCTTTGCCTGGTTCCCTGTAACTTGGCTTCTCGCAGCGAGGGAACCACGAGAAGGCCCTCGGCACTGGACCTCAGTGTCTGGGCAGAATGATGGGGCCTACTTGGTGCCTTTAAAATAGGGTTGGGGAACCTGTGGCCCTCCATACATTGCTCTCAACTGCCATTGGTCCCAGCTAGCATGGCCAGTGATTAGGGATTTGGGGAGTAGTACTAAAACAACATCCAGAGGGCACAGGTTGTCCAACTCTGCTTTAAAATGAAGGGGCTCTTCAAGCCTAGTATCAAAATATATTGCCTATCAAATGATCTGTGGGATCTGCAACCTCTTAAAATTACCTGAGAAGTTTGGGGAAATAGCTCTCTATGGAAATCCTCACTACCACCTATCTGAAGGAGATCAAGTGACTCGAGCAACTTTTAAAAGGGGCCACAATAGTGTGCTGATTGAAACCCAAGAGAGTCCGGCCAATCTGCATGCCCTATCTTTCAAAATCACTCTCTAGGATTTAAACACTAAGCTGGTCACTCTAATACAGGCATAGGCAAACTCGGCCCTCCAGATGTTTTTTGGGACTACAATTCCCATCATCCCTAGCTAACAGGACCAGAGGTCAGGGATGATGGGAACTGTAGTCCCAAATCATCTGGAGGGGCGAATTTGCCTATGCCTGCTCTAATACATGTTTAATTAAACACTGGCTTTCACCTCACCATCCAGACATTTTAAAACTTTCTGCACAACTTTTCTTGATACAGAAACTAGTTACTTTATAGAGCTCAGAGATACTCAGAAAGCTAACTTCTATTACTATCAAGGTACTTGTGGATCTGTGAAACCTGCATGATGCTTTCAAAACTCTGAGCACCAAGATGTCACTTTAACATATAACATATAAGATGTCACTTAACACATAAGACAGAACAGAAGCAAATATCGTGGAAATACAGGTATCCATGACTTTGAGGGGGGCCTTCTTTCACCAAACCTACTGTAATTATTCAATATTCACATTCTCTCGTCTAAAAGAAGGAACTTGACAGCATGGTCTACTTATGGTAAAGGGAAAACTAAAGAATGAAGGTTTTGTGTGAATTACAAGTTGAATAATTAAATAATTAAATAATATTCAACTACTACTGTTCTGAATTCACACATGTGACCTGAGCACCCTCTGCTGGGTGAAGTTATCCATCACAGGAATTAAAACAGAATGCTAGCATACCATTCAAGGCAAGCGGTTCATATCTCTAGCAGTTCAATCTGGGCTTAGTATTCAAATGAATCTGTAATTGGGCTGCATCTTTACAACCTACCCACTCACTAGGATGTCACTCACAGGTTTATTTTATCTGTACTGCTCTCAACAAGCCTCATTAACACCAAACCCAAAACCAAGTTCCTTCTGTCATACTGAAATACACCCAACAATATTTTTTTTTAATAGTAGCTAGCTCCAGTTCCCAAACCCTAACTCCTATGTCAAGTAGCTCTACCATTGCTTAAGAACTTCAGTGGTTTCTTTGAGAATGAAAGAGTGCAAAAGTGCAAATAGGATGCAATTTAAATTACTATTTGCTTTTATCCAGGATGAGGAGTACAGCACATTAGGGATATGGAAAATGTTCAGCACCTTTAACAGTACTACAAAAATTGTTACCTGGAGCACAATACATATTCGTAAACATTTTGAGACTATTTAATACGGCATTTATGTACAGCAAAGTTCTTCAGCTGACTACCTTTCTACTGCCAGTCCAGATGTGTTATAGTCATTCCTTTAAAAAAATTCAAGCCTTATCAAAGATAATTATTTACACTCTGAGACAGAAAGATAGATTGGTGTCACATGTCAATCTTTTCTTTAAAACTACAAGCACTTAAAACTTTATTTTAAGTGAGACTATGTCTCTCGAAGCCAAAATACATGAACACACAGACAAGATGGTACCTGTTTCTCCACCTCCAGACATAATTAGTAGCCAGGAGAAGTAGGTATTCAGTATCTCAAGCAGATTTGAGACCACAAAAAGCCTTAAATATCCCTATTTAAAAGAAGTTATATATTCACATGGGGTGGGGTGTCAAACTTGACATTTAGGCTTTAGGAACCATTCAGAAACACTCTGGAAAAGTGGGTGATTCCTATTATGGTTCGCACATGTAGTTTTCACTTGAAACTGTCATTCCTCAAGGAAAACACCAACTACTAAGAGATTCTGACAAAAGCTAGGTTAAATAAAAAACAACCAAATATACATAATATGAAATAGAGCCTTCGTGGCTTGGAGGTAGTTACCTTTATTGAAGAACATGGATGCCATCTGACCCATCTCCACCCTTTCAGTGATTTCAAAAACGTTAGGTGCTCCTCGTCTCTCTGCAGGGTTAGAGGGAAGGAAACTCTTAGCCTACATCTCAAAGATGGGTCCCGCTCAAGCCACAACCTGTTCTCTCTCCATCTTGCTCAGACATGTAAATTAACACTTTCCTGTGTTGCTTATAACAATAATTGCCTGCAGGAGACCAGAAAAGGAAACTTTATAACAGTTGATATTCCCCCCCCCACTACAAATCAGGTACTGTACATGCAAGGCAAAAGGACGAATAAAACTCTGCAAACTATTACATTTGGGATTTTACTTGCAAGGCTATATGTTGTTGTAAGTTAAGATGCTGGCTCAGAGTTAACATTTTGGTCTGAAAGGCAACTCACAAATGATTTCATATAAAAAAGATTCAGGGGGTTTTCAGTTGTACATTTTGTGTCACTGAAACCCTGTGGAAGCAAGGCTAGGGAGAAAACAGGGTTGCCAGTGGCTTGATACCTTGATAAACTAGTTTTCTTGAATTGTAAAAATGCTAGTATTGTGTTTCTCAGAAAGCTACTACATGTGCATGTGTATACAAGACACAGGGAAAGTAGGCTGTGTCTAACTTTCTCATTTGTTCTCTGCCCTGAAGAAAAACTCATAGGAGTGAGAAAAGTTTCTTGCTAGATACTTACGAAGAGATAGGATAGGTCTTGTCTCTGATCGCTCGTAGCCTTCAGGAAGAAGAACATCACTATCAGAAACGCCAGATGAAGAATCCTCATCATCATCCTAGAAGAGTAAGAAATAAGCATAAGTGTTCAAAATATAGAATAATTTCAGAATTCTGACAAGAAACAGAATGTCAAGAGGTAAAAATGAGGAGTCTTTACTTGCTGGAAAAAAGACTAAACCTCTCCAACTGAAAGCCTTCTGGCATGCTTATAGCTTCAAGCTGGTCCACCAAAAGGCTGAGCATCCATCCCAGTGCCAGGGACAAAATGGCTAAGTTTGTGATGAATCAAGTTTTGCAACATGGTGCAGAATCTACAGCCAGATTTTAAGGGTAAACACATAACAAATGAAATGAAAACAGAGCTGCTCCACTGAGATTTTATAGCTATGAAGAAAAATAATTAGCAGCCAAATGAAATGCCACACAAACCTTGTGCTTTTCCATTCTCTTCCAACGAAGCTGGGCATTTGCAGCAGCCATGGCCTCCATTACAAAAGTTGTGGTCATGTAGCTGGCAGAAAAATGGTAAAAGTACCAGTTGGTTAATAACAATGGGTTGCAATATTCCATCCCCACCTACATAGCCTTTAACCTATATATTCTAAGGTGCAAAGTGTAAACAAAATTGGGGATTAAGGGCATGACTGTACACAGTATGGGCAGTCACACAAATGTTGTTCTTGCATCTGTCCTGTTTATGTATAAAGCATGGAAGAGATTCTATTTTTTATATCAAAAGAGTCAGATGGGTTTGGAGAGCTGGTCTTATTCTCCCCCATGCTGCACTGCTGCAGACACTTTTATTTTCCTGTCCTCCATCATTTCAGGTCAGGGGACTTTCCCACTACAATCCAGCTCACTTATGGTACTGTGGCTGGGCTGAGTTGGGCAAAAAGTGTGTAAAGTGATGGAGTGCAGAAATGTAAGACAAGTTAGGAGGGAGGCTCAGCGCCCCTTACTGGAGGACTCATCTAATGTTAAAGAAATGCTCTCTACCTGTTCTCTATTCATGAATGATGTAGACACATGAGCAAGAAAATTTGCTTGCTCTCCATAATGTCTGGACACTTTCTTAGTGGTAAGGCAAAAGAAAATTAACATGAGCAAAGACCCTCACACATGGCAGCACTGAAGAAAGCAGAAAGACCAGTGCACAAGTGTTGCATGCTACCAGGAGCATATTCTGAACAACCTTAACTGAAATGAAAAAGAGCTGCATAAATTCATGTCTCTGTTTCTTATGTTACTGCCATTCATTTTAATGAAATTTCTGCTGCACAAATCTTGGTGGATTGTATCCCCAAATCTCAAGAATTACAGAACTGAATCTAACTGGAGTAATAAATTATAGGATAAGCACATTTCATAGGACATCTCACTATACATCAATTACAGCAGGATGATCATGGGCAGTCATGGGGGACAATTCCGCTATCTATAATAAGGTGCAACATGGTAGCTATAAGAGATTTAGTGCCTTGGATGGAAGGTGCAGCAAGGTGCATGGGACTAAAAAGCTTTGGTCGCCATGATGAATGTGTGGCCCTGCTTCTTCTACTTGATCTATAGGTGACTTTCAAAACCAGTGAGCATGGTATCCTGCTGGGCCAGTGATGTGGAATGGGTATCAGAAGCACTATGCCACAGTGGTTCCGTTTCTATTTGGGTCATAAGCAGAGACCAGCATCGGAAGAATGTTCCACTGTTGTTATGAGGTTCCACAGAACACTATTTTATCTCCAACGTTATTTGCCAATCTATATGAAGCCATTGGGATCAGTCATTAGGCAATTTGAGGCAAGGTGTCATTACCATGCTGATAACCAGCTACTATTTTTCTATTGCATCTCAATCAGGAAAGGCAGACCTGGACCAATGCCTGGACACAGTAGTGGGCTGGAGAGGGCCAATAAATATCTGAACAAGGGAAGAACGTAAGAAAAGCCCTGCTGCATCAGACCAATGGCCCACCTTAGTCCAAGCATCCTGCTCTCCCAGTGCCAACCAGATGCCTTAAGGAAGTCTGCAAGCAGCACTTGCAACACAAAAAACATTTTCCTCTCCTAATGGTTTCCAAGCAACTCCACTGACCTTGGAGGCAAAGTATAGCCATCATGGCTAGTAGCAACTGATAGCCTTAGCCCTCCATGAATTTGTCTAATTATCTTTTTAAAGGCATCCAAGATGGTGGCCATAACTGCCCCTTGTTAGAATGAATTCCATATTTAACTATGCACTGTTTGGAGAAATACATTGTTTTGCCTGTCCTGAATAGTCCGACATTCAGCTTCATTGCATAATGTATGTTTCTTTTTTCTACAAGCTGTTTTGAGATACATAGTGCAAAGTGGGGCAAAATTCTTTAAATAAACAAATAAGATACTGACAGAACTATATCGGTCTAAAAGACAGATCACTTGGGTACCCAAATGCACTCAAAGACCTAATGCTGGACAGAGTTAGAGGAACCACTTAAAAGATTTAAAAAGTGAAGGACTGAAAACATTTTCCAAGAGCTGCCAGGAAGATAGCTGAGAGCGAGTGATCAATCAGTTGTCCCCATTCCCCATTACCATTTGCTTTGTTGATCTTATAAATGAATTGCCATTACCCCAGTTAGATGACCATGTTAAGGTTTTGCTCTCATTTTTACTAAAAACTACAATCAATCTTATTTAAACCACAAAAATGGTTTCTTACTGCTTCACCAACTAAACTCATTTATCAAGTTTGAATGAGAAATTAGTTTGCTAGGATTAAAGCACAGAAGCAACATCCAGGGGCCTGGATAATTTCCCCTATGTTCTTTTACTACACTGAGCATTCTCCAGAGGATATTAGGGAGCCAGAAGTGCAAAACAGAGGAATGGAAGGATCAGGGTAAAAAATTCTCAAACGACTTGGCACCAGTGGGCAGCATTTCAAGGCTGATACAAAATATATACAGTAATTGCATACCAACCCATATCCCAACAGCATCAAGAAATGAATTGGAAAAGAAATCAAAGCATGAGACAGAGAATGCTACAGGCAGGCTTCAAGGTTCTGAAATAATCTCTTTTACAAAGCCTCAGAAGCAATTCAGTCACTGGTACTGCAAGGATTTATGCTTCCCATCCAACAGAACTTACACTTTTATAATGCCTTTCCTTCCACAGATCTTAAGCAATTTATAAGATTATGTCTCAACATGAAAGCAATCCAGTCTCAACCCAGGGTAAAAGGGCACTGGAAGAGAGTATCCCTGTCCAATGTTGAAAGGCAATACTTTTACAATGGAACAGTAAAGTACATAAAATAACTGCATCAAATTAAAGCAGCTGGCACATTCATCAGAAGCCCACAAAATTTAGGTTGGCCTTGGTAGATAACCATTAGTTGTGTCACCAGCAATCCCTCTGCAACAGAGGAGACTGGGTCAGTTTTTTTACTCCTCATCAAGTTTTAGAGAGCATCTCACTTCTTCTGTCCATCCCCAAAGCAGGCTGCAACAAATATGCAAGATTGACCCCTCCTTATGCAATTTCCTGGGTGTCAGATTTCAAAGGAAGGATACAGTCTGTTTCTCCCAATTACAGTAAAGGTAAGGGACCCCTGACCCTTAGGTTCAGTCGTGACCGACTCTGGGTTGCGGCGCTCATCTCGCTTTATTGGCCGAGGGAGCTGGCGTACAGCTTCTGGGTCATGTGGCCAGCATGAATAAGCCGCTTCTGGCGAACCAGAGCGGTGCACGGAAACACCATTTACCTTCCTGCCGGAGCGGTACCTATTTATCTACTTGCACTTTGACGTGCTTTCGAACTGCTAGGTTGGCAGGAGCAGGGACCGAGCAATGGGAGCTCACCCCGTCGCAGGGATTCGAACTGCTGACCTTCTGATCGGCAAGCCATAGGCTCTGTGGTTTAACCCACAGTGCCACCTGCGTCCCTATATATTTGGTAAGGACTCATCAAATCTGATGGGATTACTCCTTTGGTCAAAAGCTGCATGCTTCTGAATTCCAGTTGCTGGAAACTGCAGGACTTTCCTCCAGAGGAAGGGCATTTTCCTATTCCCACCAGACGTGATAAATGCAATGGTGTGCTGGCTACATTCTTCTTTGGGGTGGAGGTTCTTAACTTCATCGGGTATTCATGCGTCTACCAGTTGGGTGCACAGCACCTCATGCAAAGTGTTCTCCCTCTCCAAGGCTACAGAATGCCAGTGAGTCACGGTGATTTGATTTAACTTGATTGAGAGATGAGTGAGGTGTAGGGGTCATCTGCAAAATCAAGAGGTCTCAGGCCTGTTTAAAAGACGATGGGAACACCCCACTGGTCGAAGCTAATGGAGAGCAGCTATGGGATGTCTGCTGATTTCTTACCCTGGGTGACTCAGCCTCTGTAACTCAACCTCCCAAATGGAGGTTTGGGAGTGAATATACTTAGAAAATAGGAGCCACTGCTGATCTCTTCTAAGCCTTGTTCCTGAGGTAGATTGCATTGCCACTGAAAAGTTTAAAGGTGAAACACTAGAATATTGTACTGGAATGAAGCCTAAGGCTTCAGTCCTACCCTACCCCCTTACCTGGGAGTGATGGTGATGATGGTGGTGGTGGTGGTGGTGGTGGTGATATTCCCTGCCCATCTGGCTGGGTTTCCCCCAGCCACTCTGTTTAAGCTCCACTGAATTCAATAGGACTTATTTCTGAGTAAACATGGTTAGTATTATACTGCACTACTGTTTTCTGCTTTTGGTGATGTCTCAAGAACCAGTCCAGCTCCCATATGATTTCAGTTCCTTGTTCATCCAAACATGTTAGAGAATGTTGAAAAACCTGCCATATATCTCCTCAACCCAACTTGCTTCCTCTGAGGACTCCTACTGAAAACACAATATCTTCACAGTGAGCTTACTTAATAGGATTCAAGTGGCCTTATCTCGATACCCTGGCATTATTGTTCTTAAATCATTGCTACACCGGCCATTGTGACCAAGTCAGAGGGAGCTGAATCAAAGCTTCAAAAATTAACTCACTTTGAATGACATGCTGAAGACTCTTGAACACTGAATGTGCAATATGCATGCATCAACATGGCAGCTGTGAAGAGTAATAATAATAATAATAATAATAATAATAATAATAGTAATAATATATTATTTCTGCCCTGCCCATCTGGCTGGGTTTCCCCAAACACTCTGGGCGGCTTCCAACAGAAGGTTAAAAATAGGTACATTAAAACATCAGTCATTAAAAACTTCCCTAAACAGGGCTGCTTTCAGATGTCTTCTAAATGTCATATAGTTGTTTATTTCCTTGACATCTGATGGGAGGGCGTTCCACAGGGTGGGCGCCACTACCAAGAAGCCCTCTGCCTGGTTCCCTGTAACTTCACTTCTCACAGTGAGGGAACCGCCAGAAGGCCCTCGGCATTGGACCTCAGCGTCCGGGCTGAACGATGGGGGTGGAGACGCTCCTTCAGGTATACAGAGTATAAGGCGAGCCTTTTAAGATCCTGACACAACAAAATCCGGGAGAGGTGGGGAATAAATCTGAT